ACCTGTGAGCCCCGGGTTCCTCAGCGCCCATGAGCCGGAGCTGCTGGGGCAAGACTTTACACTGCTGGTGTAAAGTCCTCCTGAGTCTGTCTCCAGGCGCCCCCTGGACTCGAGGCTTTGAGGGCAGCTGCCTCCCGGGGTTTTGGGACCTTGTACAGCCAGGCCTGTTTCCTCCCTCTCTGCACAGGGGAGGCTGCAGCCCTGCCAGGCGCCGTCCAGCTGGAGGGTCCCCACAGGCAGGTAAAGCCGAGTCACAGGAGCCCCCACATGCTCAAGGCCCCCCGGGACCACACTCCACAGCAGGACTAAGGGCAGCCTCCCCTGGGGGTGACAGCAGCCCTGCTCTGCCTCCCAATGTCCCCACATAACCACGGTGGCCCGCCACACCCCTGCATTCCAGTCAGGGCCCCTGTCCTGGGAAGGGTTACTCCCAAGTTCCACTCCCTCTGACTCCCCTAGAACTTTCCAGAGAGTGCCCAACCTCTGCCCTCCATCCTCCCAGGGCCTAGGGAGGGGATCCCCCAGAGAGCAGGTCTATTTCCGCACTCGAGGTGCGTGCTAAGGGGTCAGGGCAGCCTCCTGCTCCCTGCTGAGAAATGCCCTCATCCTCCTACCGAAGGTGTTGGGGTGCGCTGTGCTGGAGAGCTCAGGCACTGAGCGGACCTCATTAACCAGTCTCCCCCTTGAACTGGGAACTCTCGTGACATCTCCTGCCAAGATAATGAAGGAGCAATGGAGGAGCTTTAGGGACTGGTGGCCTCACTAAAAACACAACAGCTTACGAGGCGGCAGGGAAGGCACCAGGGAGACCTAAAACTCCTGCAGTACTTGCTGACGGCAGGGGACCCCCTTTCCCTCCCGGGACCCCCTTGCCCTCCACCTGCTCTGCTTCTCTACTCCGCAGGCATTGCATCCTCCTATGTCACCTGGCTCGATGCTCACTGGCCATGAGGATGCCTCGTCCCCGGGTGGGAGCGCAATGCTGTTTTGCTCAGACCTCTGGAGCCACTGAGTGTTCCTCAACCTCAGTCCTTCTTTCGCTGGGGACACAGGAAGCTAACTTCTCAGGGACCTTGAAGCTGCACCAGGCACCTGCCTGAGACCTGGCCAGCGGAGCGGGCGTGGAGGGGACCTGGACCTGCCCAGATGTGACTCCCTGTCCTAAGCCCAGCTGCATGAGGGCCTCCTGGGGGTGAGAGGCTCCAGAGAAGAGGCAGAGAGTGGGGGCCATGCCCAGCAAAGAGTTTGGCTGGATTGGGCAGCGTGAAAGGAAGAGGGAGCGAGAAGGCGCACTGGGGGCGCAGCCACTCGGTGGGCCGAGCCAGCGAGAGGCAGCTCCCGTGTGCTTGTGTAAGCGAGTGACTCGGGACCTGCGTCAGCTGTGCGGGGGCAGGTCGAGAGGGCGCTGGCGTGCCGGCCCAGTGCCCAGGCCCAGTGTGTCCAGATGGATGTCCAAGCCCAGTGTCCACATTCAGCGTCCAGGCCTGGTGTCCAGGTTAGATGCCCAGGTCCAGAGTCCAGAACCGATGTCCAGGTTCAACGTGATGTCCCGGTTCAATGTCCAGGCCATATGTCTAAGCCTGGTATCCAGGTTTAATGTGCTATCCAGACCATGTGTCCAGGTTCAATACCCAGGCCCCGTGTCCAGGCCTGGTGGGGCAGGCCCCAGAGTCCAGGCCCGATGCCCAGTTTCCATGTGCTGTCCAGGCTGGCATTCAGGTTAGAATGCCAGGCCAGGAGTCTGGTTTGGAGGCTCCAGTCCAGAGACCATGGGACACCTGATTCTGCAGGTCACTCCTGGCCACCTGGGTGACCATGACTCTGGGTGTTTCAGGGAGAATAAACATTTGTGCAGTTAGCTGAACTCCCCCAAGGGGATCATCCTCAAAGGACTCCACAGCGGAGAGGAACCTGGTCCTTTCTCCCCACCTCACTCATCTCAGAGCCTCCCTGTGCTCCAGCCTCGAGCTGGCACTCACCACCACGCCCCACGCAGGCCTCGAGCAGGCCTTCGCCTCGGCTTTCTGGACATCACCGGACTCCTGAGCTTCCACAGTCACACAAGCCAGCTCCTCATAATCAAGTAAATAAGCTGCGTGGTCATGTTTAGATGTGTGCGTGCTTTGCCCACTGCACTGGCATGACCATACACATTGCATGTGCGGAGAATATACATGTGTGTGGCTCATGTGTGTACACGTGTGTGTGCATACATCGGGTTATAAATGGAAGGACCCTACATATTGGGTGCATATATTGACTTATCTAAAATGTTATATGAATTAATGATGAAGATGGCAATATCAAAAATTTATTTAGTACTTCAAGGTCTCAGGCTGAGCCAAGTCACTGTGCTCTGGTATCATAAGCTCCTTGGTGCTCACAAGCCTTTAAGTAGGTTACCATCACCCCCTTTCACAATAAGGTGTGCATGTCTGTGGGTATGGGGGTGTCATGTGTCTGAGGGGGCGTGTGTGTGTGCACCTGCCTGCACACATGTTGACAGGTGACTTCATTCCATTATAGCTCTTAATTTTCACCTCACCCCCTGGGGCCCAGGGAATACTTGGCCTCTGTGTAGTGAGTGATGGCTAGAAGTGCTTGATCCCATCGAGCCCCCATTCCAGAACCTGGTGGAATTAAGCTTCAACTACCAGTGACCTTTCTCTGGGCATGGCTGCTGCAGCAGCAGGGGTCACTCGGGGTGAGAACACCTCTCCAGGCCTGCTCCTTCCGGCCTGTGGGTCAAGAAAGGGCCTTTGTTTCTCCCAGGCCCATCCTGTGTGTCTGCAGAATCTGCTTGGTGCAGAGACACAGCTGGGCTCTGTGCTTGCCCTGGGAAATATAACGGGAGTTCTTGCTCATTGGGTGGGCAGGAGAGGCCCGGGGCAGGCGCTGCTTTCCCATCCGGTCACAGCGAGGTATTCGTGGGGGCTCTGGGCTGACTCAGGCAGAAGCGGCTCTCATAGAAAGGGGCCAGTCTTTTCCCAATGACGTTGACTTCTGCTGTCTTCCACTGGGAAAAATAAACCCTCTCTCTGGCAGTGTTCACCTCATTATAACAGAGGCTGGTAAATAACAAGGCAGGGGTGTAGCAGTGAGAGGGGAGACACAGTCCCCACTTGGCTAATTTGGGGCTCCAGGGCTGGCCATTAAGTCTTCAGCTCTCTCCCCACCCCTTGAATGAGAGCAGGCATCCCAGAGTCTGCAGCACCCCGCAGAGCAACCCCGAAGGTCAGCCTTCACAGCGAGGGCAGTGTGGCCCTGCTGAGGCCAATTCCCATGGATTAAGGAGCTCCCTAAGCAGAGACACCCTCTAAATGCCACATACACCGTCTGCACATTACTGCACTCCCCGATGACCCTGGTGGCTGAAGCCAGTGCCAGGCCGGGCCTCTGGGACACATCCGCTGCCCTTCCAGGGCCCTGCGCTTAAAGTGTGTCCCTTTTATGTCCAGCTCTTGTTTGGCTGCCATCTCATTAACTACTCCCTGGACACCAGGCTCCAGCCTCAGCTGGACACCTGTGAAATACTTAAGCAGAGCAAGATTGTGGCTTTTGAGGACGACTATAAGACTTGTTTGAAGAACTTGTGCTGGTGAGATACCCAGAAAGGAAAGCTCCCCTCATTATATGCCGGGCCCCCAGTGAGTCCAGAAATAACACGAGCTCTGCTGTTAGCGTCCGGACCTACTAGGAACCGAGAAATAGTAGCTGAGGGGAGGCAGGCCAGGCTGAGCCCCATTTGTCCTGCTCCATTTCCTTAATGGTGTGTAAGGTGTCACTTTAACCTACAAAAGTGGATGTGTGTTCCATGCCTTTTGCAGCAACATGGATGGAGCTGGAAGGGATCATGCTTAGTGAAATAAGCCAGAAAGAAAAGGAAAAATACCGGTGGTTTCACTGCTAGCAGGAGTATAACGGACCAAGAGAGAAAATAATAATAATAATGAGCAGCTATAGAACAAAGACACTTTATGGGGGTGGAATGGGGAATGGGATCAAAGACAGTGGGGGGAGGGAAATGCACTGGACTATGGTGATGGCACATGGGTGATTTGGTGATGGGAAGCTCAAGAGGATTACAACTGAGATGGAAAAAGGCACAAAATGATGTAAAAATAAACTATTATATTTTTTTTTTTTTTTTAAAATGGATGCATGTCCATGTCAGGGAACCTGAGAGGCAAAGGGGAAACATCTAGGAAATTAAACTTCACCCACTAACGTCCTCTCGGGGACGAACATACGTGTGGGGAGCCTCGCAGGGACTCCCCAAGGCCCCGGCCCAACGCGTGATGACCATGTCTCCGGTCAGGCCCTGGCGTTCAGGATGTCGTTTTAGGGGCTGAGCCCCTGGCATTTCCCTGGAACCTTCTCCCTCATCAGGGCATCCTTCAGCTGAAAACCTTCAGTGAAGTTACTGTGACCTCGCGTCTTGTAGCATCCACACAAGTGAGTGTGGCACATTGCATGAGTCCGGAACCTGTTTCGCGTTCATTCTCTGCTCGACGTGCTCATAAACTCCCAGCCTAACTGTCCTCTAGACACTGCCTCAGCTAACACAGAAGTCGGACAGTGTGTCCCTCCCGGGGTGCCCACAGCCCCTGGCTGTTCACCGCTCCAGTTTGGGGACACACTTAAGTGTAATTTTTACGGTAGGTGCTAAAGAAAATTGTTTTAAGTGGTGTGGGTGCTGATGGGCGTGGCTTTCTGGGCACAGAGGATCCCTGGGGCTTCCCCCAGGAAAGCCCAGCTGAGTCTACCCCACCTCCCAGGAGAAAGCCCTTGTGATTTCACAGAAATGTGCAATTTTTTGCAAAGAAGGTTCTCTCATCCTGAATGTTTAAGGACTATTTATGAGTCTGCAAGAAGGAAAAGATGGTAAAATAATTCCTTTAAAATAGATTGTGGCCACAGATAAAAGTGAAGTCATTTCGTTTAACTGACAACCATGCTTTTTAAATTTTTTATTCATTTTTCACAGAAGTTCCCTTTGAGCCAATCAAGAATTTCCCAGAGGTAACCTGGAGCTCCCTGGGTGTTGGGCTCATTTGAAAACAGTTGGAGCTTCAAGTTCTGCCTGACTTGGTCTCACCTCCTTCCACAGCGGGCTCTGCTCTAGCTGAAGACATCCATCTGTGAGAGGTGGAGCCCAGGCTGAGCGAGCCCACGAGAGGGGCGTGACTGGTCACTCGGCCTCCTGGGCCCCGCCCCACAGCAGCACCTGCTCCCCTGAGCCACAGACCAGCCCAGCCGTCTGGACATCAGACCCCAGTGCAGCCCACGGGGAAAGGCCCACTTCCCATGGATTCAGCTCTTCATCTAAAAGCAATTCCCCCTCTGCCCTGAGAACCAAGCCTCCAGAGGTTCCCTCTAGTCCAGCTCCAGGGTCCTGGTGTGCCCCACGACAGTGTTCCCTAACATGCAGCTCCCCAGGGCATCTTCACGGAGGAGCTGGACTACCTGTCAGATTCGTGAGTGAAATGCTGTTTCCAGGACCATGCACCAGGCGCCCGGGAGGCCGTCACTTTCCATGCACTCTTCTTTGTGGGAGTCAGACCCCTACTCCAGAAATGGCTTCTCCTTCCTAAGTCGCTGGCCCCTGGGCCAGAAAGCTCTCGCCTACCCAGACCCAGCCCCCTTCACAGTCAACATGCTTGATTGCACTGGCCCCAACACGAAAGGCCACTTTAGAGAGTCCAATGCAAACCCACATCCCCTCCGGCTCTGAGGCTTTAATTTAGAAGCAGGGGCTTTGAGTCATTGCAGACACCTCTGCCGGCCAATCCATGGGTGTGGGGGGGGTGGGGCAGGCGGCCTTCAGAGGATAGGAGTTACATCCGAGGCCTGCAAGAGCTGCAGAATCTCAGTGGCAGAGGACCAACCCTGAGGGGGAGCTCCTCTGGGCAGCCCCCTCTTTTGGGGGGGCCTGACACTAGGTTGATAATAAGACACTGCTGGTCTTTGTTCTGGCACCTGAAGCCCTTGGGGCGTCCTAAGTCACAATAAAGGTGAGTCTCTCCTTATATTAGGAGGTGACTTCTGAACCCCGATGAGGGTGGTGGCAGAGGTGGCACACACTCCCCCAGCTTGACCCGAGGGAGGGGAGCAGGTGAGGGTAAGCCACACCACAGCAAGTGGTGACTTAGTGCGACTGTCCTGAGCTCTATAAAATCCCCAAGGATAGGGCTCAGGGGAGAGGGTCCAGGTCGTTTTGCGAGAGTAGAGTGTCTGGGGGGTGGGGGGTCATAGAAATCCCCACGTCCCCCACATCTCCCTCTGTCACCAGGCTATTCCTGAGTCATGTCCCTTTATAATAGACCAACAGAGCAGGGATGCACTGAGTCAGATATCCCAGCCCTGGGGGAGGGGGAGCAGAGGAAGGTGATTCCCCCCACCAGCAGCCTGGCAGAGGGCAGTAAGTACCAGCAAGTTCCCACAAGAGCCCCCAGGTGAAGGGGATGTGGCCTGCAATGTACAGAAAGGCAGTGAGGGGGCACAGAAAGGCAGGAGGCCGCCCCCCATCTCCCTGCTTTCCAGAGCCCACACCCAGGAGTGAGGCCTTCCGTGGAGAAGGTACCCAGGGGCCAGGCCACGCTGCCCTCCCCCAGTCAACGCATCCCCCATCCAGGGTCAGTGTGTTCGGCCACCACTGCCCACACACCAGCACACTGAATGCCAACCCCAGAAACCCGAGTGACGGGGACTGCGTGGGGCTGCCTGACACCACACAGGAAGGTCATTCAGGGGGTCCAAGCTTTGAATTAAGAACGCACATGAGACCCCACTAATCAGGTGCTCTGGTGTCACACTTGCCTCTAAATCCGGGTGCGGGGTGGGGTGGGGGGGGGTGAGGGCTCTTCCTGCAGGACAGGACAATGCAAGAAGCTGAGATGCTTTCGTAGAACGGGTGGGCGGGGCCCGTTTTATTCCCTGGAAATGCGCCCCTCTTCAGAGCGCCCTGGTCAGAGGGCACAGTGGGGCAGCTGCAGGTGACCCAGCCATGGGGCGGGCTCCCCAGGGTCTGCAGCTGGCACAGGCAGGGCCACCAGCAGCCCGAGCTGTCCCTGGGTACCCCTGGCTGGGCATGGCGGGGCCAGCACGGAGCTCCCTAGTCCTGGGCATCGGCCTCCAGAGTCCTGATGAGGTGCTGGTAGGTGTCTCTCTCTACCAGCCAGGAGTGACACGTCCTCACATACTCCCTTCCGTTGGCTGCAATGTCTTTCTCTAAGGTGGGGTCACTGACCAGTCGCTTCGCCAGTTGGACAAACTCCTGCAGCACAGTGGGAGAGACAGAGAGAGGCGGGTGAGCTGGAGGCAGCCGGGCACCAGCTCCGGGGTCCTCCCTGCAACACACACTCCTTGGGAAATGACCTCTGGGAGGAAGGCAGCTCATGGGATGCCTGCGTTGGGTGAGACGTCACACACGCGTGCACCGCGGACCTTGAGGATGCGGCCAGGGCGCCGACCCGTGCAGCTGAGTGCTCAAGCACCCGCCCCGGCTTATGTCCAGTGGTGGCTATGTTCACACTTGCCCTTGCCAGGGAAGGCCACCGCGGCCCTGGACACTGCCTTCGGGTGGGTGAGAGGGGAGGGGGAGCTTGAGGGAAAACCAGAAGCAGAAAAACACGGCCACACTGTGTGTGGACACTGTTTACCACAAAATCCTTGTGTAAGAGGACAGTGCTGTTCATGCACACACAGGCCACACAGGAGCAAGGATGAGCCCCAGGGGGAAACCCTGCGGTCTATTCTGTCTCCTTCTTCCTGAGACAGCCAAAACCTACATCTATTTCTTTCCGGCGACTTCTGACCCACCCGTTGGCCTCACCCTGGAATCCGAGCGGCGCTCTGCACAGCACCGTGCCTGAGCGCCCACCCAGTCCTGCCCCCGCGCAAGCCTGGCGTCTGGCGTGGACGCAGCCAAGACTGGGGGCAGCTCTGCGCCCCCAGTCCTCTACCTACAGGCCTGAGCCAATGGGCAACGACTGATCCCTCGAGCCTCACTTGTCTCACCTCTGGGCTACCGCCCCAAACGCCTTCCCAGCCTGGGGCAGGCTCCCAGGGGCGAGGACTGGTGGGTCTGGCTCCTAGCGAGAGCCTCGCCAGAGTTTGGCTCTGCGCATGCTCACAGGCGCGGGGCTGCTGGCCAAGCGGGCTCCCTCCGCAGCGGAGAGGGCAGCAGTTTGAACATGGCGGAAGACAGGGGGCTGTGCCCACTGCGGCCTTCCAAGAGCAAAGCGCGCTGCACCCAGCTCGCAGGCTCCAAGTGTGTCAGGGCAGGGTCCTGGAGCTGGAGCCTAGGTTCAAATTCCAACCCAGCCCTGGGCCCCTCCTCTGTGCCCTGTTTCCTCCTCTTTAAATTAGGGAGAGTAACTCCCTGCTGGGCACAGCAGAAGGGATTAAATGAGTTACTACAAAGAGGGAAGAGAGTAAGGCTAAGGAAACCCTGTTGTGATTCCCCAAAGCACAGTCAGCCCTGCGGGCAAGGAAGCGAGGTGATCAGTGCCTAGCTGTTAAAAGAAAGTCCACATATTCTCAAAATTATTGTTAATTAAACATTGAATGCCTTTTATGGCTAGCAATATACACTGCAATATTTATGAGCGAGTGGAATTATTTTTTTATGTATTATGTATATACTTTGTAGTAAATTGGTGTTCTTTTTACAATAAAAATATGACATATTTATTCCCATCTCCTCGCAGAACAACATTTCTATTAAAATTATTCAAAGGGCTTGTAGCTCTGGTGTATTATTTTACAACACTGGTCTATCTGTGATTTATCTGATGGAGGAATTTGGGTGGAAACCCAACCCTATTTGTTATTTCTACAGAATGTTTGACCATTTTACAACAAAATCCTGAAGGATAGAGTTCCCAGGAACAGGCTGTGATAAAATACAATTTTCACTGCTCTGCACAGAAGAATGATCAAGAAAACACAGACTTAAATACAGCAAGAGCGACCTGGGAGAGGAGTGAGCCGCAGAGACCGCTGGGACCAGCCCACAGGCGCGGCTGGGAGAGTGGACAGGGCGGACAGGGCACCAAAGGAGGGGAGGGACAAGGTTGCCAGGAAGACTGCGCATGCCCAAGCCTTTGGGGTCACAACAGTTGCCACTGCCCACTGAGGTATACAGTGGTCACCCCCCAGTGTGGACGCTGTCACGCTTGAAGGCAACACTGTGAGCAGAAGGGGCAGTGACTCCCACCCCCGCACTCTCTGCAGGACGGCTCTGTGGCTGTCACCATCAAGGTGTGTGTGTGTGTGTGTGTGTGTGTGTGTGTGTGTGTGTCCTGTCCTGGGCTGATCCGTGACCAACAGAAGCTGTCAGAAGTTCTGCTGTTGAACTTGGAAGCTCGACTCCACCTCACAGCTCCTGCACTTGCCCTCTGAAGCCAGAAGCCCCTACAGAAATCTAAGCCGGACTCCCCCGGGTCGACACACCCAGCTACCACCAGCACCCATGCCCAGAGACCTGCCATCTCGTCAAGGGGCCTGGCAGAAGAACCGGTCAATGGAGCAATGTTCAAACTGTCGGCCCAGAGTGTGAGCACACGGCCGCGGCTGCAGCCAGTGTCCACGGCTCCGTGGAGCCAAGACTCTAGCCAGGCAAGGATGAAGGAGCCTTAGCCTCGGACGAAGGAGCCCGCTGCCCATCAGCTACGACCCTCTGCACACTGAGCGGGAAGCCCCACCTCGCCCCCTCCTTCCCCGTGAGGAAGTCCTGCTCAGTCCAAGCCAGCTACAGAGGCTCTAGCGCCCCAGGTGACCCCCACTCACATTCCTGCAAAAGAGCAGTTTGCCTTCATCATTATTCAGTTAGTGGCTGAGCCCTTTCAGGATGTTCAGTGTTCTGAGTAATCTTTAACTCTCGCCAGCCCTTTGACCGGCCTTCGCTCCCCGAGGCACCACCAAGTCTGGGGAAGGGGACTGTGTCAGTTTTACAGAGTGGATATGTCACCCTGGTGCTCCTTCTCATAACCTGCCACCACAGGGCCACTAGAGGCGGGAAGACGAGCAGGCACCTCCCGCGGGCACTCAGGAGCTGGCGGGCACCGTGCCCGTGGTCTTAAGGGCAATTCAACACCCTTCTAAGTGATATAAGCCTAGTCTTCCTTGTCCTCCTTTAGAGGAGCTAAAATCGACCCCATAGAAACTGCATTTCAGACAGAGTTTAAATTAAACAGGCCACACACCCCACAGTTGACATTGACCCCCACTAGCCAGAGCCCCCAGCCAGAGTTATCTGTGTCCCTCCTGGCCCCCAGCGGGTCTGCACAGCACCCCACCAACAGCACGTCTGAGGCTCAGGATCAAGAGGCAGGATCAGCGCACGAAGCAGGATCAACAGAGCCGCAAATAACTTCCCAGCAGCTCCCAGACACCAAGTCCCTGCCAAGTGCATCTAGGAGCCAAATCACTAAAAATACAGCGTTTTCTGAGCACTATCTGGATTCTGGCATCACAGGAGGGCTCTGGGTGCTGGGTGGTGACAGCCACACTTCTGCAAAGGTTGGAGGCCACAGCCTCGCGGGGAGCAGAACCTGGGCCGATTGCCCGAGTAGCAAGGTCTGAGGGGCCGCTGACTGGCAAGGACGGTGGATGCTACGAGAGTTCCCCGCCCACTCCCGCCTCCTGTCAGGTGAAGTCCCAGGTGCGGCGGCACTGTGCTGCTGGCAGGGTGAGGAGCAGAAGGTCAGGCAAGGGGCAGTGTCCACTGGGGAGGGCGAAGTCAAGTGGGACCCAGGCATCCGGTCACACTCCTGAGAGACGACAGGAGTGACACACCTGGGTGTCACCTGTGGGACACCGACTCCTACAGGTGGTGGAAAGACCAAGAAAGGTGGGCCTTGGCTGGAAGCAGAGCTGTTGTGGCCCCTTGTGAAGGCCCCTAGTGGGCATCCAGGGGGTTACCACCACCACATCCCCCACCCCAGCCAATGCCATTCCCAGGGTTTCTCCTGCTGGCAGCCATTGTCCCGGTCACACCAGTGCACATGGGGACAGAGCTCTCACTCCCTCGGCCCATGACCCAGCTGAGCCCCCCAGCGGTGCTAACTCAGCAGCACGTGGCTCGTGGGCCAGCGAGTTCCAGACATGCGGGAGAACACGAGTCCCTCACGGCAGCTCAGCGCAGCAGGCCACACCACAGGCTGCTCCCTGGACCCAGTACCGGCCACCAACCACAGCTGCTCTTCCCAGGGCCTGGTGCTGATCCCCAACCAGCCAGACCATGGACTGTGCCCCTTTGGGCCCCTCTGGCCCCCACCAACCAGACCACACACGCGTGTGTAGTGATGCTCACAACACCACTCACATGTGATTTAAGTGCTTTGTTGTAAATATCTCATTAACACTTGTTTGTATTGACCGCATGTCGAGGTCAATACATGCACGTCTGAACAGACCGAGTTAAATGAAATATATTAACATGCATCTCATCTATTTCTTTACTCTCGACACGGTTGTCAAGCGCTGCGGTCATACGTGGTGGATGCACTTTTGCTCTCGACACAGCCCCTGCCAGTCCTCAGCCGCCCACTGCTCCATGGACAAGGTCAGTCCCGCAGCCCAGCAGGGAGCCCCTCTCCCCTGGAAGGTCCCCTACATGCCCAGCGGCCTGGCTGCCCAGCCACATCCCTGGGTGTTAACTGGGGCTGACTCCCAGGCCGGCCTTACACAGCCTGCCCAGAGCCCCTCATGACGCAGGAGAGGCCCCAAAATGGGGGCGTCTGTGCTTTCGCTTCCCTGTGGGGCCAGCCAACACCTGCACATCTCAGGCTCACCCACCTGCAAGAGCTGCCTGTGTTTGGGTAAGATGTGAACCCTAGAATGAGGACAAGGCAGAGAAATGACACTGGCGAGAAGTCATCTCTGGCATGGAGCTGACCCAGGCCATTGCCAGCAGGGACTGGCAAATGGGTGAGAGGCAGCAGGGACCCAACTCAAGCCGCACATCCCTGTCCCACTCACATGAGTCACTCCCAGCCAGGGTGGTGTCCTTGCCCCCAGTTCCCAGGGGCCAGGGGAAGAGGTGAGGTCAGGGCCGCCCGCACAGCCCAGGACCTAAGCCAGCCCTGCCAACCAGAGACCTGGAGACTGTGGTCCCCAAACGCGAACCTGCAGTCTGACTCTCCTTGTCACCATCTAAAGAGAAGAGGCGTCCGCAAGGCCAGAGTGGAGGCACATAGCAAGCAGGCTGCCCCAGGCCAGCCCCCAGCCCACCGGCACTGCCCAAAATGTACGGCTTTCTGCAATGGCTACAAAACACACAGATCCTCGCGGCAAAGTTAGTCTGGACTGTGCTTCCAACGTCTGACCCTGAGAGGGAATATGGATCCTGTTTCTGCTAAATGTCAAATGGATTTTAATTTCGAAGCTATAAAATGTAGCCATAAAATAGCTCAGCTCTTTTCAGAGAACAGGACTTGGCGGTAAGGAAAAAAAAAATCGATGCTTAGGAGGTGGGGAAAGCTTGGCTTCCATGAAAGTCCTCTGTGGGGAGGCATACAAAGAGACTGCTGGGTCCCCACCAAGGCTGAGTATTATTCATCATCGCTTTGGTGGAAATCCAAGCCCTTCTTCCTGACTGCCAGTACCGGGTGCGACAAGAGCTGGGTCCCGTTTTGCACCTGTCACTGTCACCGACCTTGTAGCAAGCCCAGTTCTGGGTGCTGGAGCTTCTGGACACAGGACAGACTCCTTAAAGTGAGAGTTCTGTGTCTGTTTCACCATGGAGGAAACTGACCCCATGGACCTGACTTTCAGGGCTGGGGCAGGCTGGGGCAAGAAAGGTCAGACAGGAAGGCACAAGTCAAGGGGCACCAGGACATGTCCAGAGATAATGCACAAGAAGGAGATGGGTGTCGATGGGTGGATGGTGGGACGATAGGATGGATGGATGGATGGATGGATGGATGGATGGATGGATGGATGGATGGATGGATGGATGGATGGATGGATGGATGGATGGATGGATGGAT